CTGTTATCTCTTGCCAAATATCTTTTTGTATTTAACATGATTTAAAAATTGTCATACCAAACACAATTCAGAATTTAAGAGTCCAAGATTTACTAAATCAGAATTTACAGGATTTAGTAAATCCTACTAAAATTTAATCCAATACTATACCAAACACCCCCGAAGTGGATTACTCTTATGGTTTCAGTCCATATAATCTCGCATCTAAGGAACAGGGTGATGCGAAATGAAACGACGGCAATGGGAATCGGCCGAGCCCGTATATTGCAAACGAAGGAAGTTAAAGGGGCTGTTTGGCAACAAGTGGATTTAACTTTAGTGGGATTTGCTGTTCGGTTTCGTTACTTCGCAGGAGGTGTATAGATTGCACGCGTCGCTTCTTCGGCTCTTCGTGGCTGTTCGGCTTCGCTGCTTCGACGATTTTCCATTCCTGTCGTATCGGAAGTTACGACAGAACGGGAGCTCGCTGGCTGTGAAGGTAATTTTCTCCCTTTCGCGCGTTTCTTAGGCTAATCCCGTTAAATCCGCCGAACCGAGGGATTTAGTAAATCTGGGATTTAAGTATAAGTCTATAAGTTTCTTCTTCTTCTCCGTTCTTCCCACTCTCTTCCCGGCTCTCTAGTCCGAAATCGTCTCCCTCTCTAGAAGCCGAAGAAGATGCCTCTCACAGCTCACCCGATTCATACGACCAGAAGAGGCGAATCCTGTTTCGCCGCCTCCATTCGCCGCAGCCACTTCGTCGCCTTTACCTGTTCGTGAACCAGGCCAAGTCCTGTTCATCTCTTCCTCGCCTTTACCGACTCCTCTTGCTTCCTCGGCACCAGGTATTTCAATTAATTTCAATTCATTTCAACGTTAGGGGATTGAAGCTTATATTTATCTAATTGGTCCTCTATCCTCTTGAATGATTCGCTGAATTGAAGCAGTTTTGATTGATCTTATTAAAATTTATCTAACCCAAAGGATTTGGAGATGCAAGGCCTAGTGATACGCTTTAGAATTTTTCCTATCCTTCGTTTCTGTGTGTATGCAGGAAGACGATGAAGTTTCGCTTTATCGATCGGTAATATTTTTGGAAATTTATAGCTCGTCGAATTTTAGTTTTCTTTCTACAGGAAAAATAAGAAAACGCCAAGAAAAATTCAAGCTAAATTTGATTTGCTTGATTTATCAATGAACATCAAGAAATGACAAGCATGAACAAACTATAGAATTAATTACCAGAAACTGCAAAAGCCACCGCACCATTAATTTCCACTGAGCTAGCTGCAACGGTCTCCGGAAACGATACATAGGTAAGAAATTAGACATTTAGAGGAGTTTGGTTGCAAGATTTAGCGAAGATTGAGCTGGGATTTATGCTAAATCTTGTAAAACGGTTTTGATCCAAATAAATCTTCCTACCTTCTTAAATCTCATGTTCTCCCGTTATACGCTAAACCTGAAGGAAGTAAGATTTAGACAACTTCTACTTATTGTTTATCTTATTCAACTTCATGTAAGTCCTTATAAATCTTGAAACATATATGTCAAATAGTGTATTAAGATTTAATCAGATTTAACATATATCATGCCAAAGAGTTTACAAAATCCAGCTCATTTTTTTTAGGAACAAAATGAAAATCATGCTCCCAGTGAAACAAACTGACAACGAAATTCGATATGTAAATGCTTATTAGCTTAGATCAACAACAGTCTCTAAGGACCATAAAAAAAAACAAGTTGATGAGTTATTAAAGAAATGAATTATATTTGCATTTGACTGTTTTTCCGAAAAGCTTTTCTAATTACTATTATGAGCACTCATTTTTATTAAAAAAGTAATTTATAGCCTTTAAGCTGAAGATTGTAACATAGTTTTATTTGTATCTATATCAACTTATTGATTGGTAATTATAAACAAATTGATGTTGAAACAACATATCTTACATGAGATCTCTTTGCTTTGATCTTTTTTTGAGTGCAGTGTGTATTTTCATTAGGATACCATCTTTACAGAATAACATTTTTAGATGTAACAGGTTTAATTTTCAATATTATGTGTGATTTTTTACTTATCTTTTTTCTGTTATTGAATTTGTTTTAATGCGGCACATTTTTCATACTGAATTAAGCAATTTACTGAATCAGTTTTTTTTATCTCTCAAAGATAAGCAAAATCCTCAACTTGTTCTTCTCTATAACTTTGTCGAGGCATCATCATGGTTAAGGGTTCCTTCACTGATGAGAGTTTTTGGAGCGTTCAGATCGATAGAGATGGATTGCGGACACTGTTATTGCAATAACTATAATATTTCTTTCCTTTCAAGAATTTATTTTGGTACATCTTGTTGTCAAATAGTTTGTCATTTTCACTGCTTTAGTTTATCTTTTTCTATGATGTTTATTTGAGTATACCTGGAGGAGAATAAATAGGAAGTTTTTTATCACTGCATGGTCTTTAACTTTTTATTAAATTAGCTGGTCATCAATTTCAACTTGAAAACTTTAGTTCACACAGGTCAAAGAGAACATTTGTTCATTTTGTTTTGCTGAAATCTTTATGACTTTCTAGGTGATTTTTCTATTTGAAAACAAAAGTAATACCAATCTATTGCCATCATTGTCTCCTACCTATGTGTTGTTATATAGTGTTCGGAAAAAAAGTTGTATTCTTGCATTTTCTTATTTTATTATTTTTCATTTTCTTTACTATTGTCTCTTATGTCTTGTTCTGATGACCTCGCCTTCCCAACCAAGATCCTATAGTGCACACAATTGCTTCATATTTGCTAATAGGTTCAAGGTTCAAAACTTTGTGTTGACATAAGGATGATCCGTAGATTGTATTTTTTTTTTTTAAAGGAAGAATTAATTGTCTTATTTTTAAATTATATATAAAAATTTTATAACACAAAAAATACTAATTCTTATAAATACATTGTTCTTATAAATATATTTATTTTAATACTTAAATAAATTATTACAAAAAAATATGTTTACTTTACTCTGGATATACCAACCAAACAAGGGAAACAATTCTCCTGCGTTTATTTTGCATACAACCAAACAGACTCAAAGTATTTAGAATGCATTGCATTTACTTTACACTACATTTATTTTACACTGCATTTATTTTTCAGGCAACCAAACAGCCCCTTAAGCCGTAAATCGGAATCGTAAAAGGGCTTATTAGCCTACTTCGACGACGTTCCTTCCTGTCGAATTAGAAGCCGCGACAGTTTTAGATTCTCTTTTCTATATAAATTTTGCTGAAAAAATTGCTAAAACATTTGTAATTTATTTATTTTTGATCTTTGAGCAGTGTTGTTTCTTCTACTTGCCTGCTAATTGTAGTGCATTTATGCTTGCTAGATTGTAACTGAAATAATAACTAAGTCAAGATTTTTTCTGGACCTTCCTTTTTGTCAAGGCTAAAGTCACAATCAGTATTTGCTGGCCAACTTTACTCTTTACTGTGAGATTTGAGGATGCATTTTTGGGCATTTGGTAAGATTTAACTAAAATCTTGCTTAAATCTGCTTAAATCCGGTATCCAAACATCCGCTTACTAATATGGGTTCAATGAGACGGTTGATTGAGTTATGCTGCATTATATTTTGGTTGGAACGCTTTGTTTTTCCTCCAGTTTTAACAGAGGCATATCAGTCTACATCTGAAAGAGGTGGGTGTGATTTGAAAATTTCTGGTGAAGTTATAATTTCTTTCCTTTAACATTTCTGAAAATTTGAGAGCTTTTTAATGGTTGGGATATTTTACCTCATGACGGTTGATTTTCTAGTGTTTTCCGAGTTATGGCATTATTTGCTTCCGATCCATCTGAATTTAGCCGGGTATGGTATTTACATTACTGCAAAGGTAGTTTAAAAAATTGGGAAAATGTTAAAAATATGAAAAATAAGGAGTTTTACAATATCTAAATCCGACCTTTCATGTGCAGTCATGCAGTTCTGCTCCATTCCAACAAACAGTTAGTAGCTATGAATGCCTGTTAGAATAGTGTAGTATTTATTATGGAGAACAAGAAAAGGAATGATAACATCTCTAGATTAGGGCTTTTAGTTATTGGTTATTTTTCATTTATTTGATGCGATTTGCTATGCAACAATCTTTATGTTAAGAGACCACAAATTCATTACAACAGTATGGAACAAAGCTTTATCATGAATTTTGAAATTTGCCAAAGCATATTTCTCAGTAATTTTCTTGAGTGCTCTTAAATTTCAGGTTTAAGTTTCTCTCATAATTTCAAGTTGTACCCAAAGACGCTGCTCACTTTGGTCTGTTACCAACCAAGCAATTTTGGGTTCGAAGCTTGCGTATGTGACGTGTGTGTGAGTTTGCCTTAATTGTCTCAAATATTCTTAAGAAAAAGTTGTACCCAAAGCAAAGTACATAATCCATTAAGCTTGATAAGTAATAAACTGATAGATAGCCCTAAAAAACTTGTTCTAACTAACTTGTAAGCAGCTCTTTGATGCTTCATAATCAATGTTCCACCTTAAAGATGACATTTGTGCTAAATTGCCTATGTAGAATAGACTGAACAGGTTTTATTGGTTCCACAGGCATTAAAAGCTTCTATACTTTGATAAGCTATTTAATATGTGTGCTGATATGCACTGTGTATTTAGTCATGTAATAATTTTATTCTATTGTTCTTTCTAAGAAACTAACGGTCCAAGGAAGATCTGATGTATTGAACAAAATTTCCCAAACTCTTGAATTTCCTCTTTTAAGTTTTAATGAAATCCGTTCAAACACTTCCATTTGCTTGGAAGATCTATTCATTTTTATCTATTTGAAAACTTTTTTCAAGTATTACCTATGAATGGTGTTAAAAGTTTCATTATTTATTTTTAAATGGGATTATTTGTCTATTATAGGTTTTGGAGTTAAAATTCCAAATCCTTGCTTTGCTGTCAGTTGGCTGGATGATAAAACCACTTACCAAGCTGGTGACACGTCAACTATTAAGATTAAGCTATTGAACAATTCGTTAAATGGTAACATCAGCACAAACAAAATGCAGTTCTCAGTTTCTGTGAGTGGGAAGAAAGGAAATAGCTCATATATATCTGCTGTATTTCCTTACTTTGAAGGAGATCCTATGTTTTGGAATATTTCTTTTACACCCATCCAAGTTGGAAACTTTTCTGTGGTTGTTGTTGAAGATTTTTCTGGTGTTATTGATTCATCACTTCATTTCAGTGTTACTGCTGGTATGCTTTTTTCTCATGCCTCATATTAGTCTCTTCTTTTTATTTTATATTCACGTTGCCCTGTTCTGTCATTCTTTTATGCATGCGGAAGGTCGGTATGCTAGAAACTATTAAATTTGAAGGTTTCTTCCTTAAAGCTTAATTTATATGATTTTGGACATTTTCATACATCAAACTATCATAAAACCTTCTCTTCTATTCTTATCTCTCTTTTACCAAATTTGTGGTACATTTGAAGTCAGTCTTGTTGGAGATCTTTAATTACTATTATTCAGGTTTAATTCTTTCACAAGATTCTTAGATTCTTGCTAATTTCTGCTGCAACATTCTATTTGAAGGACTAATGTACCCGTCTGCTTGTCTGCCTTCTTGGATGGATTCTTCCGAGGAGTCTGTTGCTGGTACCAGAACTTATTTGCTGATATATCCTAAAGATGCTTTTGGAAATAATATCTCATCAGTGGATATGCCAACGAGTGATCGTTTTACATTGTCAGCATCTTATCTGAACGGATCTGCGGCAGAGATTTTCAATTTCGTTTCTAGTTCTTGGAACGAATTGGGATATTTTTTCATCGAGTTTATTCCCACCATTGCTGGAAGGCTCATGTTACATGTTTATGGTGATAATCAAACCTTAAATGGTTCTCCTCTTCCATTTACAGTCATATCAGGTTGGTTTCTTGCAGTATAGATTTTTCATTATCAGAAAATGAACACTAATGGATGAGATTTTTTTTTTTTTTTTGAAAATCTTTCAAGCATGATTATATGCATTCATCTGTATGTTTGTCTGGGTTTGCTATCTCTCCTGATAAAGCACCATACTACTTTGAAATGCACGAATAAATGTAATTCAAGCATTTTAAGTTGATGTTTTTTGTCATGTTAAAGTTTCTTGCTGCAACAAGATGAGTTATTGACTCTAAGCCATGTTATAATCTTTTCTTTAAGCACCTTGATGTATAGGTTTCAGAAACTTCCGGAATGAAGTTTTGGTCACTAGTGCTAATGATTGCTTCAAAATATTGGGATGTTGTGGATATATTACTTTCTGACATTTTATTATTGTTTTTATATTTATCTCAGTTGCTTCTAGGTTGAACTTGTTTAATGCTTTTTCTGATTCTTACAGGACTCCTCAATGTTACGAATAGCATAACCAAATGGAAACATGAAATAAATTCATTGCAGATTTTCTCAAAGTTGCAGATATTCATACAAGCATGAAAGACCCCTTTAGAATAACATATTTTCCTGAAAAATCAGGAGACTATGAAATACGACTATTCTGCGGGAATATTCCATTAAATAACGCCATTTCTTACTCCATGAAAGTATTGCCAGGTAAAATATCATTCTTTTTTGGAAACTTCTATTGATGCACATTTTTTATGCATAGCAACTTTTGGCATGCTTTTTCATGATAATGTGCTTGAGTGTTTGTTTTGCTTTCATTCATCTACATCTAACTC